TATCACTTGGGTGATTTCTTGCACATAAGGAGCATCAGTTTCCTAATCTATGAAATAGAGTTAACAAAACTTATTATTTCAAAAGTTATTAGGCATATTAAATAAATAATAAATTAAATTAACACATAATAAATTAATAGATATTTTATGAAAAATAGGTGGATATCAAAAAGAATTTTAAACCTGAGAGAAATATTTTATAGTGAAATATAACAGAAAATATTGTGCAAATCCTTACTCCTATTTTGGAGTTGAACATATTTACCAGGAAAGCATGAGTATCTTGGCATACTTATCCACCTTCCAATGTGTAAAATGCATCTGAATAATTCTATCTCTTACTACTGTCAAAGGATTTGAATCACAGATACAAATTACAGTCAAAAAGAAAGAAAAGAAAAAAATCACAACTAAAACAATATTCCTTTTGATATCATTTCTAAAGAGAACATTAAATCAAGTACCACATAGAGTGAAAATTTCTAAAAGCTACTTACAATTTTACTTAAAAGAAAACAACCCTTGCATAATTTTTAAAAATGAACTCTCATAAAGAAACATGCTGCAGGATGCTTTCTAAAGAACAGGGCAAATGTGGTCATAAAATTTAAAGGTCAACAAATTAGAACCCAAATCACTATCGCTTCTATTTAATCCATAAGAAAACTAAGAGCATACAGAGGTCAAGGAAACAAAGAAAATTCTGAGAAGAAGGCTGTACTCAACAGTGTCAACCAGTGAGAGGCTAAGGCAGTACATGGAAAGTGTCCAAGAGGATTAGCAACAAGGGCAGACCTGGGTCTGGGGACAATCATTATACGAGAAGGTTGAGGATAAAGAAAATACTATAGTACAACATGGATATTATTTTTACATAGAAAAGCACAAAAGACAACGAGTCATAACTGTGAGTTAGAATGTTTCCCCTCCTTGAAAATATTGAAAGTGACAATTTTTTCAACCTATAATTTTTATAATAATATTAATAAATACAATGTAGTGCATTGAGGGTTTATTCCACAAGGCCATTACAGGGTCATCCTTGATCCACAAAGAATGATAATGTAAGTCTTTCCATATAAAAGATGTTAAAGTGAAAACAATGATGAATACAAAGACCTGAATGATGTTTTCATTGGATTTTATTAGAATATTTTTAAGAGATTCATGGCTAACAATGAAAGGAAGATTTAAGATCTGGAGATGTGATATGTGTACCAGTCTCCATTCCAGAAGGATTATACAGACTAGCATTTAAGAAACCACCTGCAAATTCTCCTGATCAGTTTGGAATGACCATAAATACCATTCATCTACCTATCTAGACAGTACTGTCTAGACATATAATGTGATCCTCATGTGTTACTTAAAATTTTCTGGTACACACATTAAAAACTAAAAAGAAATAGACAAAATTAATTTGAATCTTGTCTACTTAACCTAACGTCCAAAGTATGTATTATCAACATAATTAATATAGAAGTATATTTTTGAAATGTTTTCTTTCTTTCATACTAAATCTTTGAAATCTGATGTGTACTTTACATTTGCCACACATTTCAATTTGAAGTTAATTGTCAATAGCCACATATAGCTCGTGGCTACTGTTTCAGACAACACAGATCTAGAATCCAAGTTTCCAGAAATCAGAAATACAGGTTGTCTTATTCACAAATGAACCAGCTGTATTAAAAACAGCATGTGGCACACAGTTAGCTCTCAACAAATATTTGTTGAATGAATGAACAAAACTATTGGTTTTACACAAATATTTGCAAAGTCAAAATTCCTGGTACATAAAATTCTAATTACATTATTAGAACTATTAAAAAAGAGAAGCATGCAATTATAGTAAACACAACTGTAACCCAGATGGTAGTTTAGTGATATACAGTTGATCAATACACATTCCATGTAGTGCATAATTTCAGATACATTTTAAATACACTTTACCATTAAGGGAATTTTCTCCCATAATCATTTTTAAACGATATTCTTAAACATTTAGTAGATCAAAATAAATAGTACATTTATTTTAAATTCTTTAAAATAAAATACAGCTTTTCTCTGTAACAAATGAACTCCACATTCATCAAATACACACAATTTTCACATATTGTACTAGCATTTGCAAAAAAATGTTTTTCATCCTACTGTTTAATCCACCCTAATGCTGGTAAAAAAAATGCCAAATATAACTTCAAATAATTGGCAAAAAGTTGAATTATACAATTATTTAGTTTTCTGGTGGTACTGGGAATTGAACCCAGGGGTCTTAGCACTGAGCTATACATGCACATGCATAAATGTTTTAAATTTTTGAGACAGGGTCCCGGGCTGGGCTCAAAGTTCCAATTCTCCTGCCTCAGCCTTTCAGAGTGTTGAAATTATAGATATGCCACTACATCTGGCAAATTATAGTACTGTTTTAAAGATGCTTAAACCTCCAAAACACTGAGGTTTTTGTTTTGTTTGTTTGGTACCAGGGATCGAACTCTGGACCTTGTGCTTGCGAGGCAGGTGGCAGCATCACTGAGCTAAATCCTGGGCCCAATACTGAGGTTTTTAAAATATACATGAATCAGACCCCAAATACCTCATACTCAATAGCAAAGAATAGGGATATAAACTTACCTTCTCTGCTAAGAGCTCTCTTATCTTGCTTGCTTGAACTCTAAATTTCATGAGCTGAGATTCCAGAGCTACGCATCGTTCCTTCCAATCTACCCGTCCTTCTGGCTCAGTAAGCTCAGCCATGTTTATTCTAAAAAGAAAGCATTCAACAGCACTCCATATTAGTGTTCAAGAAGTCCATTACTTTGCCCAATGCATACATTATAGTCACCATCCAATGACATTCAGAAACAAGTTTTAAATTCTAAGATAAATTCCAGCCCTCATTATAGTTTATGAGCCTACTGGGAGACAAGGAGACCAGAGTGTAAGTCCTTCTGTGCTATTACTTAACCTTTCAAGGTCTCAGTTTACCTGATCCAGAAAAAGAGGGATGCTGAGCATCAAACCATTCTTCCTCATAGGTATGCTGTGAGAACAAGTGAAATATTGCTGTTTCTAATAAAACTTAGACAATACAATAACATAGTAAAAAATGCAATTATTGTTTTAAAGCTGCTCAACAGTAAGATTTTCTAAAACTAACAACTCATAATTTTACCATACACTTAAACTTACAGAAGTCTCACAGCTTGGCTCACAGCGCAGAATGATAAACTAAGGAAATATAAGAGTGCTGCAATTGTGGTGTTGATTTGTACTATAATGTAGTAGCAATTTTTATTTAGCATCACTCTAAGTTCACTCAGGTTCAGGCTAAGTCTTTCAAGCCAGAAATGTTGGTGTATTTAACTAGGTAAGTTATTTTGATCCTGACAAGTTTGCATAACTTTTATAGGTATTAAGAGAAAACATACAAATATGAAATTTGGAATCGTCTACTTAAATCTGGAATCACTATTTTCCATGATACCAACTGTCCTTTTGGAGGAGGTTCATCTCAGGGAGAAGCATGTAAGGAAAAATCAAGAGGCCAGGGAACTGGTTTTGAAATTCTAAAGTGTTACTTGATTTTTTCATGATTGTTTCTGGCTCTGAGATTTATGAAACCAGTTTTAAATGTATGGTAATGTTTAATGGGCTAATTTAATACATAGCCTAGTAAAATGCATTTCTTTCTTTTTAAAAAAATTTCTTAGTATAAGGTTGCAATACCTAATGAATGTATTCACCCCGTCGAACTGTTACTACTGTACACACACTGCCTCCTGAATATTTTTGTACTTCTCCTTCCCCTCTTCTCCCTTCCATTTCCCCTTTCTGAATCGCTCTTGCTTCGAACTGATAAATTTGCTTTAGAAATGGATCTTCAGCATGAGCGAAGTCCTGGTCATGAAGAACTTGTGACAGTAAAATTCTCAGAACTGTGGATGGTGCTGCAGTTGAAGTGTACTATTCTATTATTTTGTTTTATAAACATATGACTAAGTATACTTTCCCAGTTTTGAGTGTAACTACCCAACTCCCTAAACCTATACCAATTTTTAAAAACCACATACTGCTAAAAACTCAGTAAAAAGATTATTTTCCTAGCATAACCATTATTGTGTGCTTATGTCAGTTTTCACATTAATATTGAACTGACACAGTCACACAATAATTTAGAACTAACTAACTAAATAATATAAACTGAATTGTTGTACAAAGGCTACAATTTTTATTGAGTATCCCAACCATATTAAAGCTTCCAGATGGCTACAACTTCTAGCCATAGTTTGAGGGAAACTTAAAATTGTAGGACTTAAATTCACTCTGTCCTTGTTTGTCTTTACAGAATCTTTACCTTAATGCTCTCTGAGTATTTTCTTTTTGTCTTTGGTTATTAGCCTTTCTTATGGCCCCTTTCATTTCCCATATTATCATTTACTATTAATTTTTTACATCAGCATTTACTATCAATGATTTAACAGTAGATAAAGCAGTTTGTCAATCAAAAACTTTTCCCCCATTCTATCGCTACTTCATTTCTCTCACTATTTGCCTTACAGAGAAAGAAAAAATATGGATGAAATATTAAAAGGTAAAAATACGTCATCAAACAGATACTCTTAATTATTGAACCATTCATATAACTGCACAGAAATGTAAGGACACCAGTGTATCCTAAGCAAGAAGTCTATTCCATGTTGATTAAATTTTGCTCTGCTTTTACACTTGGATCTTAGCCAAAAGACCAAGAAGCGATTGCTCAACATTTTAAATAGCTCATTTATATTCTAGTGTAAAATGTGTAAGGGTTTTTTCCCCTTTATTTTGTTTGCAGTGCTGGGGACCAAATCCAGCACCTGACACATGCTAAGCAAGTGCTCTACCTCTCAGCTACAGTTTTAAAAATAATATACAGAGTACATATTTTCAACAAGTGAAAATAAATTCCAGTAATGCACAATATTAATAGAAAAAAGAACAATGACCACTGGTCATTTTGACCACACACACACACACACACACACACACACACACACACACAAATTTAACAACACCCAATACTCCTTCATAACAAAAACATTCGACACATTAGCAATGTCAAAGAATTTTCTCAACCCCATAAAGGCCATACAAAATGCCAAACAGCTACTATCATAATTACTGGTAAAGGATTGATACTTTTCTACTAAAACCAGGAACAAGACAAGGATATCTGGTCTTACCATTTCTATTAAACACTGTATTACAGATTCTAGCCAGGACAAGAAAATAAAAAGACATCCAGATTGGATAGGAAGTAAAAACTATTTCTATTTGCAGATGAGATGGTCAAGTACATAGAAAATTCTAAGGAAATCACAAAAGGATCTCAGATCTATTGACTTTGGCAAGCTTTCAGGAAACCAGATCGATAAAAAAAATCAATTGTTCTATATACTAACAAGGAAAACCCCAAAACTAAAATATTCCATTTACAATAGCATCAAAATGAATAAAACATTTAGGAATAGATTTAACAAAACAAGTGCAAAACTTGTACTCTGAAAACTCCAAACCTGAATTGAAAGACATTAAAGATCTAAATATGTGGAAGAAATTGTACACTTACGGACTGGAAGATAATATTTGCAAATGCACAAACACACTCAACTCAATCACTACAAATATTCTCACAGAATTTTCTGCGGAAATTGACAAAATCACCCTACAATTCACTTGCAAATTCAAGGGAACCAGAACAGACAAAACAATACTGAAAAGTTTGAGGACTCATATGTTCACATTTTTAAACTTACTACAAGGCCACAGTACTCAAACATAAGGATTTTGCATAAGAATGAACACACAGATTCATAGAGGGAAGTTGAGTCTAGAAATAAAACCTCATATTTACAGTCAACTGATTTTTGGCAAGGGTACCAAGACAGCTCAATGGGGGAAAGAGCTATATTTTCAACAAATGATGCAGGGACAACTAGATACCCGAATGAAAGTGAAAGTATTTTGGACCCTATCTCATACCCTATACACAAATGAACACACAATAGATCACAGACCTATCCATACGTGTAAATAAGGGTCAAAACTCTAAAATTCTTAAAACAGATATGTATCTTATGACCTGAAATTAGGCAAGTTTCTTAGATATGAAAGGAAGCAAAGTGATCAAAGAAGAAATAGATAAATTAGACCTCATCAAATTTAGGAATTTTGAGCCTCAAAAGATACTATCAAGTTGGGTGTTGGGGCATGCTAAGTAATCCCAGCCCTCAGGAGGCAGAGGCAGGACAATAGCCACGAGTTTGACGCCAGCCTGGGCTACATAGTGAGTTGAAGGCCGGCTTGAACTACATAGTGAGATGCTATCAAAATATTTTTTAAAAGACACTATCAAGAAAGTGTAACAATAACCTACAAAATGTAGGGAAATATTTGCAAATTATATACCTGATGAGGGACTTGTGTTCAGCATATGTAAAGAATTTATAAAACTCAATTAAAAAAGGCAACCCAATTAATAAGTGGGCAAGTAGACACCTCTCCAAAGGAGACAAATAAATAACTAATACTCACATGAAAAGATGGTCAACATCATTATCTATAAGGGAAAGTAAGACATCAAAGTCATAATGACACTCCCTCTCATATCAAACAGTATGAATATAATAAAATGAAAAAGAACATATACTAACACATGTTAGTAAGAATGTGGGTGAAAGGGCCAGGGATTTAGCCCAGTGGTTCTGCTGCCTGCGTCAAAAGAATGTGGATAAATCGGAACCCTGATACATTGCTGGTGGCATTATAAAAATGTTGGAGCTGCTCTATGAACAGTTTAACAGTTCCTCAAAAGTTTAAACATAAAGTTACATAGGCCCCAGAAAATACAATGCTAAATACACATGCAAGGGAATTGAATACATTGTCCACAGCAAAACTTGTATATAATGTGTTTGTAGCACCATTATCCACAATACCCAAGAAGAGGACGTAATCCGAGTATCTACCAACAGATGAATGGGTGAACAATGGGTAACAATATGATATATCCATATAACAGAACATTATTCAGGTATAAAAAATAAAGTACTGCTATATGCTACAACCTTGAAAACACTATTCCATGCCAAAGAAGCAAGATACAAAAGGGCATATATCATAAGATTCTCTTTACATAAAATGTTTAGAATTAGTAAAATCAAAAATATAGAAAACAGGTAAGTGGTTTCCAGGGGTTTTAAGGAGAGAACAAAGAGAGGAAATAGTGGAACATGTTTGTAATCCCATCACTCTAGGAGGCTGAGGCAGGAGGATCACAAATTTGAGCCCAGCTTGGACAATTTAGCAAAAATTGTATCAAAAATTAAAAAAAATTTAAGGGCAATAAAGGGCTGAAGATATAGATCAGTGAAACAGCTCTGGATTCTATCCCCAGTACTGCAAAAAAAGGTGAAAGAAATGGTGACTATCAATGGACATGTGGTTTCTTTAAAAGATGATGAAAATATTCTGGAATTAGTGGTGAAGGTTGAGGGTATGCTACAAATTATTGAATCATATGCTTTAAGAGTACCCTCAAACATACTAAAAATTATGGAACTAAACACATTAAAATGTAAATTTTAAGGTTTGTGAATTATATCCCAATAAAAAGCATATTTTTACAAATGAATAAAGAAAAAGCAGTTTAAATGGATATATATTAATATACTAGAACTACACTTACAGATTTAATATGAACCATTATGCATGGT